CCTGTGACCTTGAAAGTAGGTCAAGGTAATTTTCATTCTCAAACTTTGTTTGGCTCCATCCCAGGAACCAATCAGCCAAATATGAAGATTCAATACCTTTTAGTTCTTCAGAAGAAGTCGTTTGAAGTTTTTGACATATTTGACCCCTAGCTGTGACCTTGAAAGTAAGTCAAACTAATTTTCATTCGCAAACTTTGTTAGGCTCTATCCCAGGAAGCCACCAGCCAAATATAAAGATTCTATACCTTTCAGTTCTTCAGAAGAAGTTGTTTGAAGTGTTTGACACATTTGACCCCTGTGACCTTTAAAGTAGGTCAAGGTAATTTTCGTTCTCAAACTTTGTAGGGCTCCTACCAACAAAGCTTTCAGCCAAATATCATGACTCTAGGCCTATCCGTTCTTCAGAAGAAGTTGTTTAAAGGAAAAGTTGACGGACGAGGACGAATGGACGGATGGACGACGGACGCCGCACCACGACATAAGCTCACTTGCCCTTAGGGGCAGGTGAGCTAAAAATATGTGTAGTCAAGTTTCTTCGGGCTGTTTGCAGAATGGACAAAGTGGGTCCACGGCCATGTAATTGTAATTATTAATTGAAATCCAGTAGAAGTATATATAAAGTATCCTGAAACGTATTTAACATTATTATTTACAGCTGTTAGTATATTTTAGATAAAAATGTAATAAAAATAGGCTTACTTACTGTCTTTACTCTGTGGCTGTAAGGCACACAGAGCTACATACAGTTTTATCAGTGCTGCTCCCTACAGGGTTATTACTCTAGACTATTGCATAAATACACGTGGGGCTTTCTGGTGAGGCTCCCATGTGCATATATGTTCATGCAGGGTCAAAGTGTCTCTCTCAGCCAATTCTATCTCTCACCTCTCACACGTCACAATAACAACCCGATACAGGAACATTACACACACCATGACAGATATATACATACAGTCGATCGAATCGACACACACAACCAGCGCAAGTAGTTATAAAATAGTGTGACATTTCGTTTGTATCACAGTGGAGTCAATTAAGTGCTCCCTGTTCGAAATAACCTAATAATGTAGTAGCGTAATAAAATAATGTTGGCTGTCTTGATTGTACCATCTCCAGAGTAAAGAAACAACACAGTTGGTAAAGTTCATGAAGTCCCAAACTCACATAAGAATACAGTTACACAAAAGAATAGTCCACACTGCACTCAGGCTCACGTCCGACTCGTCCTCTCACTCACGATCACGCTGTTTTATTATACCCTTCTTGTTTACTCCTATTCCTCAACGAGATATTAATGTCAGAAGTGACACCAAAGTGGGCATCTTCTGAAATGTTTTGGGCACCCTCATAATTGTTAAGGAGGCTCCCCCCTTTCGCAATTAACCAGCAGAATTCAATGTCGAATGAAAGTTTTACATTTCGATAAACTGGGGATTTTTTGGTAAAAAATACAGAATTATTGATTTTTTGTCAAATCTAACACTTTCACATTTTTTGAGTGTGTTACATTGTTCAAAACTATTACATTGTTCAAAACTATTACAACAATGAAATAATAAAAAGAAGCATTGCTAATCAACCCAGCTTCGCCTCTGGAAATAGTCCTGGCCTCGGGGGATCATAAACTTGCTATATCCCTCACACCCGTACTTTAACTGTTAACTATATATAAGCTAAAAGAAAACAGGGCACATAGTTTCATACAAAAAGAATGAAAAATTGAACCAGATACACACAAAGTCTTTATTATTCATTTATTTTACATTTTACAATAATTTTGATAGTGATGGGAGTTGTCTACCTTGAAAAAATCGAAACTTTTTGCAGAGGGATAGAATTTAAACAATGACAGCTATACCAAAAACGATGGAAATAAATTAAATTACTACATTAAATTGTCAATTAACTGTTCTTTTATGGAACAAAATTACTCTCGATCATGCCATCATTCCATAGCCCGCTTACTCATGGCAGGTACATATGTAACCATAGGCTATCGCATGGTATGCTGTTATCACGTGCACTCACATGCACTTGTATTTTATAGGGATCTTGATATTTTACAAACCACTATTTTCACAGAGTTATTGTAATTGCATTTGTGAAATGATTAATTTGACAGAGCGTAACTTGCTCGACAACAAAAGTCGTAGCGACCCCGAGCTTATGAACTTCTGTTATATGTACAGGTGAGGTCGGTAAACAAAACACATCAGTCTGCATTCCATGCGCCTCATATACGACCTTCTTGAAGTCGTCTGATCTTATGTCAGTGTCTTCCAGTGAATTAATTAATGTCTTTGTATCATAAGCTTTATTTCTGAAGTGTGATTTCACATTTCCAAGTGAAGTCTCGGTATGGGGTGTTGACACATCATCGTCACGCACGTGTACTACTGTTTACCCGGTGTTACTATAATTTACACTACAGTAATGGAATGCCCGATACGCAATACGGAAATGACGACACGAAAATACAACAAGAAAAACATGTGTATTAATACGAAGGGTGGGAAGACCTTAAGTGGGCACTTTGTTAGTAACTTTAGCCTAAAAAGAAGTGGAGTCGTTGGAATTTGTCTTGGCACTAATATAACTCATTAGCTATCTCTGCCAGTATAGTTGTTCTAACGATGTCCAACACGACTCCTCATTAATAATGACACGACCTTTAAGAGTTACTACCCTTCTATTGCGATATACATTACAATAGCAATTTATTATGTCAAATATGTACATGTCAAGCTAAACCACCGTGACCACTCGTTATGTACATAATTTTAATATAATATCTAAAAATTACGAAAGTATATTCTTTGAAGTGCTACCTCCTAGGGTCAATTGCACTCCAACCATGGAGTTCTGATCCTGGGAACTGTTGGTATTCATGGAAGAACATGTCGAGATGTCCAGTGTAACAGTTCACTTTACTCTAAGAAAAGCAAGATCCTATGTATTTCCTTCCCCGGTGAGTAATTGTGGTGTTCTTACCTTGTTTCTTCTATTTCAGTCTCCCTCTCCTTTTCTAAAAGTCGTAGGTGTTTACCAACGAACTTCTCCATGCTTGCCGTCACACATCAAACGGAAGTTGATAAGCGCTGACAAATTCTGTGGCGGTGGCGGAATCCGGATCCGAACAATTCGTTTTTAAATGTGCGCAAAATTACGTTTGCCAACAAATATAACTACCGTATGCATTCTGCATGTAGGAACAAGTGTCCCAATGTGCCAGCATCGCTCACCTGGTATAAAGCTCACACTTGTAACCTTAAAAGTGGTCTAAATAAAATAAAGCTACAGGCAGAATATCAGTATTTATAATTAAGTCTTTCAAAAGAACCTGTTAAAAGATTTAAAAACATTTCACCCTTGTGACCTCGGAAGTCGACCTCAGGATGCAACTTGCAAAATATCACCACCCTTTGTTTATTGGAATAAGGTCATTGAAATGTTTATACATATTTGACAAAATGTGACCTTGAAAGAGGGTCAAGGTCATTCAATAAAAGAGCTTGATAGCCCTTCATCCAAGCATGCAACTGTCTAAATATCAACATTCTGGGCTTCATGGTTATTCAGAAGAACTAATTCGTTTAATGATTCAAAAAAAAATTGACCCCTGTGACCTTGTATATAAGACAAGGTCATTCACTTTAACAAACTAGGTAGCCCTTGATCCAACCATGCTACTGACCAGATATCAACATTCTAGGACTTATGGTTATTCTTCATAAGTCTTTTAATGAATTTAACATATTTGACCCCTGTGACCTTGAATATAAATCAAGGTCATTCATTTTAACAAACTTTGTAGCCCTTCATACTAGCATGCTACAGGCCAAATATCAACATCCTGTACCTTTTGGTTATTCAGAAGAATTAGTCATTAAAAAGATTTTGAACATATTTGATCCCTGTGACCTTGAATGAATGTCAAGGTCATTCATTTTTTTAAAACTTGGTAGTCCTTCATCCTGTCATATTATGGGCCTAATATCACTGTACTGCGACTTTTGGTTATTCAGAAGTAGTTTAAAAGTTTCAAACATATTTGACCCCTGTGACCTTAAATATAAATCAAGGTCATTCATTTGAACAATCTTGGTAGCCCTTCACCCCAGAATGTTACTGGCCAAATATCATCACCCTAGGCCTCTCGGTTATTCAGAAAAAGTTGTTTAAAGATTTTAACATATTTGACCCCTGTGACCTTGAAAATTGATGAAGGTCATTTATTTGAACAAACTTGGTAGCCCTTCATCCCATCATGCTTCTGGCCAAATATCATTACCCTAGGCCTTTTGATTACTGAGAAAAAGTTGTTTAAAGTAAAAAGTTGACGATGGACGACAGATGCCGCACCATGCATAAGCTCACTTGGCCCTAAAAACGGAGAATTCAATATAACACGATCATGACTGAGGCTTTCTTGATGAACGATGGCAATTATACACGTAAGTGAACTCATCTTTTGGTTATTGAGATGAAGCTATTTAAATATTTTAACAAAACTGGAAGCAATTCATCTCAGCAAGCTTATTATTCAGAAGATGCTGTATAATTATCTACATATCAGTGGTCTCCCCAGAATGTTTTGAAAGAAGCATGGTATTTCAATATTTCTGTTAAAGCAGCACTCTATGTAAAATCAAAGCAGCATGGTAACTTTAGATTTACTATGAATATATAGCTGAGAAGATCTAGGATAGCAGCATGGCAAGAAATTATAGGAGCATGGTGCCATGCTGCAAATTTGATCTTTGTGACCTTGAAAGTGGACAAATGTCATTCAGTTGAACAAACCTTGTAAAATATTTCATTCCTGCATGCTGCTGGGCAAATGATGTCTTCCTGGGCCTTTTTCATTATTCATCAGAAATTGTTTGAATTTTATTTTAAACAATTGACCCTATTGACCTTCAAAGTGGATCAAGGCAATTCATTTAAACGAAGTTGGTAGCCATTCATCCAAGCATGCTTCTAGGCCTTTTGGTTATTCAAACTAAGTTGCTGAAATATTATAAACATTTGACCCAAGTGAATAAGAAAGGTCAAGGTCATTCATTTGAACAACCTTGGTAGCCCTTCACCCCAGCATTGAGAAGAAATTGTTTAAATATTTAAATATACCCAGTATTTGACCAGTGACCTTGAAAGTGGGTCAATGTTATCCATTTGACAAAGTTTGGTAGCCCTTCATTCCAGCATGCTATTGATCAAATATCATCCTAGGTTTATATTGGTAAAAGTTGACATCAGACGGCCGTTGATTGCCGCGCCACGGCATAAGCTCACCCAGCCTAAGCTCAAAATGCTACCCCAGGTGATGGTATAAAGAAAAAGGGAAGAAATCTCTCGATGTTGAAAAAGAATCCACTCCATACTTCTTCACATTAAAAATCACATTTCTAGTGATTCACTATAAGTATCAAAGCTAGAAACCCAAAAGGGATCTTAGCACCCACCATCATACAATCATCATTGGATTTATGCAAGTTTGATCTTTTCTCTCCTTTTATCTAATAGATTCATGGTCTTGTCAATAGTAAATGCATTTTTAGGGTAATTTTTTATTAAAACTTCATATGGCTGGGTTTGACAGTGTCCTAAATCAAAGTTAAGCCTATTACCTAAACAAGAGGCCCATGGGCCTTAACGGTCACCTGATATATTTATACAGAGAGTTGATTTGTTTTTTAACATGAACAGAAATATTATTCAAAGTGACAAAAAACAATAAAACCACCTTATTCAATATCTAGCATACAGATTTCAGACTAAAAAGTATTTGAAACTAGCACCTCTGATTCTAAACAAGGAAAATGAAGAAATTTTAGCACACCGACTCCTTTGAGCCCCACCCTACAGCCCTTGGGGGTAGGGCTGGCTCAAAATTTTCAAAGTATCAAACTGTCAACTCAAGGTTATAATTCCAATCAAGTTATTAACATGTAATATTCAAAGTATCATTTGCCATTATAAACCATAANCCATCTATGAAGAGTGTTTGATTCTACCATATCTGGGAATTGAGAAGAAGATTTTCGAAATTTCAGTAAATTCGACCCTTTTTGGCCCCACCCATCAGCCCCTGGGGGTCAGTCAGGGCTCATATGTGCTTATTATCAAACTGCTACCTAATACTGATAATGTTAACCCAAACTGAATTACTTCCAATGGAAATTTAACAAATGTTGGTCCAAAATGTGATTTCCATATATAAACTATAGTAAAGTTTACCCCCTCCCCAGGGGGAAATGTGAGACCTCAGGGTCAAGAAATTCACAGTTTTGGTAAAGCACCTCAAGACCCTTCCATCAATGAAAATTATTTGATTCTACCATATCTGGGTTTGAGAAGAAGATTTTCGAAATTTCAGTCAATTCAACCCTTTTTGGCCCCACCCATCAGCCCCTGGGGGTCAGTCAGGGCTCATATGTGCATACTATCAAACTGCTACCTAATACTGAAAATGCTAACCTAAATTGAATTACCTCCAATGGAAATTAAACAAATGTTGGTCCAAAATGTGATTTCCCTATATAAACCATAGTAAAGTTTACCCTCTCCCCAGGGGGAAACGTGAGACCCCAGGGTTAAGAAATTCACAGTTTTGGTAAAGCACCTTAAGACCCTTCCATCTAATAAGAGTATTTGATTCTACCATATCTGGGTCTTGAGAAGAAGATTTTTGAAATTTGACCCTTTGGCCCCGCCCGCAGGCCCCTGGGGGCTTGGGACTAACCTGGCCACTATTTTTGTTGACCATTGTCCATTGAAGGTCCCTGCAAAATTTCATTAAAATTGGTTCATGGGTTTTGGAGAAGAAGATTTTTGAAATTTTAGTCAATTTGACCCCTTTTTGGCCCCACCCCTCAGGCCCCTGGGAGCTTGGGACTAAACCGGCCACTCTTTTTGTTGACCTTTGTCCATGGAAGGTACCTTGTTTACGGACGCACGACGGACGAAAGGCGATCGCAATAGGTCACTTGAGACTGTCTCAGGTGACCTAAAAAGTTACCGATAAGTGTAATATATATATATATATATATATATTATAAAAAGAAAAATTCTCAACAAGTCTTTAGTACTTTCATCTCTTCTAGGAGATTCTTCAGACTCCTATAAGCTATAAGTATTTAAATATATATATATATATATATATATAAAACAAGAGATTTCACTTTCCTGGCAGCCATATTTTTTATCCTGATCAAGCATCTCATTGAAGCTGAAAACAAATATGCAAACTGGCGAACAGGAAGAATCATCTTATACATGGAAAATCTGCATATATATGGCATTTGAGAGATCAGTCAAGTACATCTTGAGAAAAAATGATAACAAATTTAAACTGTCAAAATCCAAAATGGCTGCCATCATGTTTTTTTTTTTTTATTAAAGTCTCAAAAGGAAATATGCACAACAAAGGACCAATTGAAATCTATATATGTAATTTGTGTGAAATACTACTACTTGAGCTATAGCTATAATGGAAATAAAATGTAAAATTGTAAGATAGCTGATTGGCAGACATCTTATTCTTCTGATCAGTCAAAATCACACAGGCACAACTAAGGATCAAGGATAACCTACATTTGAGAAAAATCAAAATGGAGATGATAAACTAAACTGTCAAAATTCAAGAAGATGGTAAACAAAATTATGACCCATCGTCAGGTGGCCATATTGTTTTATTTACCTTTAATAACTATTTTTATTTTATGCTATTTAATTTAAAGACCTAAGGGGACCTGCATATGAAATTTCCGAACGTTCTATCAATAACATGTTGAACAGTTACTGTTAAACCCAATTCATAAGGACATGTGGTATCTCAGATATGACAAGCTTCGCACATGGATCAAGAATCTTACGGTTATATATATTTGGACCTAACTGAGGTAATCGGAGTAGTTTTACACGTTCTAGTGGTTTAGATCAAGTTTTGGTAATACGTAACACCACCCAAGAAGAGTATATGCCATGGTTGGGAATGGATTTTTTTACCAAAAAACTCAAAATCTCTGTTTTGGTTCAAACATAGCTATAACAAATTTTCAGGTCCCCTGTGCATAATT